CGGGAGAGTTAGTCACTTCTCAGCGTTCTAAGTTGATGCCTTTGATTTAAACGCCACCAACTGGTTGACGTAAGAATAAGATATTTATTGAAAAGCGATCAGTTATCAAACCGGACTAGAAAAGTTGCCTACGTGACCTTGGGTCGGTATAAACTTGGACGGTATTGTAATCACATGCACGCCATCAGTCACTCAAACGAGGGTCAGTGCACTGATTATGACAAAATACGGAATGATCATACCACTCTAACCGAAAAATGTCACAATCGGCGACTACTATCGTTTCCAAATGCCGAGTTTGCGACGGAAGTTTCATTGGATCAGTGAATTTGGCAATCTTTGCAATCAGTGCCAGTACAATGCACTTAACTCAATCACCTCTCCTCAATGGGATATTCGATACAGCTCAAATTCTCCGGAAAGTTGCAGAATCACATCGTGAATATCATTTAGATAATATTGTATAATCAAGAGTTTAGGGAGCACTCATTCAAAATCCTTGCAAGGAACAAAATATACGTGCACACTATCAACAACAATTCAACAAACGCATCTTTGAACGGACTGTCCCATGGCTGTATGGGCTATTGTATACACTGCATAAAGCATAACCGACTGGCCACTGACTCTATTGTCTTGGGCAGTGTTCAACGATTGCAGGTAACTGAGATGAAAGAACACGTCTGCTTTTGTTGCTTGGCCAATATTTTTACTGTTCCATTGTTCTTGGAAAGCACTTTTTCCAATACGGTTGAGTTCCATACCGAGGTGAACAAGCAAGACAAATGCCGTTTAAGGATAGGCGTGCGTGCGTGTGTGTGTATGCGGTCAGACCTGTGTCGTTCAGGAACAAGAATCGTTTGAAAATACGTCATTCTAAGGGGGTAGCGTGCCTATGATTTATTAGAGAACATGAAGTGTGTGGCCAGCGAGCGACAATCGCTTTGGTGATAGACAGAGTTGAATAACACACAAGTGAGTAGGACAATTTTCGTTCGGCTGTTAGGGTAGGAATTGAACACCGAAACTTTGGTCAACCAGTTGGGACATACTGTGTAAAATGCAAACGGTGGTTAGTGATAGGGACGAACTTCGAACAACCGAGGCGGAAGAAAAAAGGTATGTTTGCTCAGACAGAGTAGTTTTCAACAAACCCACTTGTATCTTTCGAAGCAAAAAAAGTTGCAATTGATCGCTCCAGGGAGGGGGGGTGTAATTCCTTTGAAATGAAAGCGTTCAGCTTAATCAGTCGACCAAATGGATGGTGATCAACCATTCTCTCTATGAAATCAGAGGTGACCCGAGGATATGCGGACACCCAAGGGAAGTTCTGTGTCGACACAAGTTCCGTTTCTGTTTTCTCATGAGAGACCGAGAACTGTGTGACTCATTCGAAACGGTGGATTATTTGAAGATCTACCAGCTGTACTCGTAACTTTGCACAGAGGTCTCACGCCTTTCTCGGGTTTGGAAACAAAACGCCCTTTGCTGAGACATCTATACTAGCCTGAAAAAGTTTGCTACAGAAGTGGATTGCGTTCTTAGGCGGGCTCGAACCTAATCGTGTCGGTTTCTTTACTGTACAAATACTTTGAAGGCCCTATGTGACCTTTCCACTCCGGAAAAAAACATAAATTATGGGTATAGGGAACACACCAGGTCTTTGTTCGACCTTTCCAAACCGGATAACTGCGCGTTTCCTTGTCGTGCCATCAGATCGCATTTCTTGTCTCCCCGGAAGATCGAAACGTCTAAACAAGGTTTATCGATCCTCTTAGTGGTGACGAGTCGATTTTAGACATCCGGTTTCCATGCTCCGCTTCTCATCTGGTGGATCGAATCGATGGAGGTTTTATGGTCTCAGATTTCCCGCTGGATTCCGTCGTTCACTAAACCATGGCTGACCATCTCAAGTAGAGACATTGCCAATGCGCGAAATTTCAACAGGCTGATTTCAGAAGCAAACGGAATAATGTGGCGGAGGGGCGACACTTGGGGCTTTTATGTTCAGTACTGCAGGTAGCGCTTCGCTGCACCGAACCTGGTTTGTGTTTAGGGCAATATAGCAGTTGATTGGCTCCACTTGGAGGCTTGTTATACTACCGTGGTTGGAATGATAAATTAAAGGGTAGCACAGGTATGCTTCGAGATGTTTATTATCGCTTACAGTTCGAGCGTACATCCTGTTCTTCGGCATGACAAAGTTGCATTTCTTCATGAAGGAAACTACTCACAAGGCTGCTGAAAACTCTTCGACAGCCCACGACCGGTTTCGCTCTCCTTGAGGCTCATCAGGCAGGCCCAGTCCCCGAGTTCCCATAAACCTTATTTTCTACTTGAACCCGAATTGGACTGTTTTCGAGAAACACATTCATTTGGTTTTCACGAGAGGCTCGACTGAATCTCTCGTTTGTGATATGCTACAACTGAATGTACTGCACACAGGCCACCTCAAACCAAATTAATGAGTATATTTCTCGAAAACAGTCCAATTTGGGTTCAGGTAGAACATAAGGTTGACGGAATCTCGAGGACTACGCCTGTCTGATGAGTCCGAAGAAGGGCGAAACGGGTCATGGGCTGTCAGAGAGTTTTCAGCAACATTGTGAGTACTGTGCTTCGTGTAAATATACTGCGACATCTCGAGTACCGTGTCAACTGAAAAATGAGGTGGCCTGTGTGCAGCACATTCATTTGTAGAATACCACAAACGAGAGCTTTAGTTGAGTTTCTCGTGAAAACCAAATTGATTTGCAAATGAGTGCATTTCTTGGAAAGTCACACTTCGATATCAAGGGAGTTGGCAGATGAAGCTACTGAACAGATAATGTTCAAAACCTTATAGCAACACGCGTGCATGCATAAGAATCGAGGACCATTGCAGGTGGGAGGAACACTGAGTCAACTTAATGTACAGCATTCCTTTTCTGATCAATAACATAAATACCAAAAGGAATACCTTGCATAATAGGAGTCCAATTACCTCCCACTCCACGAAAACTTCCACAAATAACTCAGTTTTACCGAATCGGATAGATTGATTTTGGGAACCAAAATAACTCTATTCCGAATTCCTTATCGCGTATGAATCGAATCATAAAATACAAATTTTAGCAGCATGACTTACAAAATAAATTTCCCCTTACCCGTAAAACTTGTTCCGTATTGAGTCTGCAATTTAAATACGGCACGTGAGTACTGATTGCAGATTTCAAACCCTTGAATAAATCGATATCTGACATTTACTCAGTGTTCTTGCCTTAACTCAAATAAACCAAATCGATATTTGACATTTACTCAGTGTTCCACGTTTTCATCCAAATGGTTGAAACGTCTCCCCCCCACACTCTATGGCGATCGCTACCGGGACCAGCCACAGGAGTGTACAGTATAAATGCAAGAACCACAGTTTATTAGTGAACTACACTCAGTAAGGAACCACTCTATAAATTTCAAACAATGTTTTGACATGGGTGGCTAAAAGCAAAATCGATAGGTTGGGGTGATAGGTACAATAGAGCTTCACGGACAACAAACAACGGATTAAGAGATTCTCCCTTCGTGAGCCTTTAAAACGGGCCACCTGTCTCATTTCGGTTCTCGTCAGTAGCTATCTTGTCGGATCTGTGTCATAATGTAAGCAAAAACACGTTCTCCCAGTGGCGTTGACCTAATGGGTTCAGCACAAAATTGCTTACAGGCGCTTTCGGAGCGGTTCGGAGCAAGCAGTTTTGTTCTCCTGTAACGACGTGTGATATGGAATGGAGAAGTGTCAAACTGGCGGTGCTTACTTAAGTGACCTCGTCAGTAAAGTGGCTACCGATGGAAAACCGCGTTGCATTGCAGCTTACTCGCACTCAAACTGCTGTATCTTGCATTTAGTTTAGGAGCGTGCACTCTCAGTCTGGGGACCCTGTACAACAGATGTATGTGGTTAGTCAATAGGGAAAGGCAGCCTTAGACAGCCTTGTTCACGTGGTCAATAAACCTGCATCAATATTTCTCACAAAAAGTGATTCGTTTGCTGTCAGTGACTACTCAAGGTTGAGTTTGGGACGATAGCCTGGTGGACCAATCATCAGTTTTGGACTCGTTCGATCTAACACCAAGAATTCGTGTTTGTCTCAACCATCCTGCACACTGCACAGCGTGATCTTGAATCCCGTCAGCTGATTGCTAGATTTGGTGGATAGCGACCAAGCCGTTGGTCGACGTAATTTGTTGATTGTAGCCTGTTCCCAGTCTTTCATTCCCCAGTACACCCGTCCGCAAATGTTAGGTTTAAAAGTGAATAAGCAAAACTTAGCAACCGTGAACATTTTACCGTTTTAACTCGATACAGCACTAAAAACAGGTGGTAATAGTACTACTTAACCTTTCGATTACTTTCCAGTTAGTCAGGGTGTTCGAACAACGAGTTTATCTCAATCCGACAACGCATGCCTGAACTTTATGTGGAGTAAGTCGTCGAGGATCCGGCATGTGTTGTGGCGAATCATTAGAAGTACAGTGGAGTACCAGCTCAACAGCTGTCACTAGGAACACTACAGAGTACCAGTGGGTTATCTCATTTCCGTAAGGATTCAGTCATGTACCTATAGCTCGGCCGTATTAGTCCAACAGTAGAAGCTGTGAGACAGGCTTTTCGGGTCAATCAGAGAACACTGCTCCTCTCATGTAAAGTCGTTAAAGTTATCCTCTGAAAGCTTTGCCTTGTCGAATGAAAATAGTGGTGCCATAGAATGTTTCAACTGCTGTGTTTTCAGGATGCATTCTTCAATCTTGTATGCCCTAGGCGTACTGCACTGCAGACTATCTATGAACTGAGGCTCTGAAGTCCGTGAATTTGGATTGCTGAACTACAAAATGCATGAGCCGAAGGGACCGATGACCAACACCTAATCCACGTCTCGATAAACACGTTCCACGGACCATGGACTGAACTGAAATCAGAGTTTAGCCCATTAATTTTGAACACACAACTTTCTTTTTGCTCTCAGAAGTAGTTCCTTCGAAAGTCAACCTCTAGTAGCCATTTCGAGGCTTCATCCAACTCTGCGAGACATCAGGCAAGTGGAGCTTGCTTTACGAAATTCGATTCTTTGCACAACTATGCTACGGCATAGCGGATCCACTTCTAGACTGGCAATGAACACTTCTGAAAATTTGAAAATAGCACTGACCGGCGAACAGATTCAACCGACGGATCGAGGTTACTAATTTTTGGACCCTGGGATTTGTAAAGCAAACCTACCGTACGTTTACGAAAAATCGCGCCGAAATGATGAGAATCACTCGGGTTTGCCAATAATAGTCGGTTGCATGAACGAAAAGATCACGTGCCTACTGTCTCCGAAACGCCTGAATTGGTCACGTGTTGGTGGGAAAGCCGCCATTCCTTTAGTCGACTTTGCATGCCCCATCGATCCAAAAAACCTACTGAATGTTCCGTTTGAATTTTATTTAAAGAACACTTATTTAGGCTCGAAACAATGTGCGGATGAATCGCCGTTTTTTAACTGAGATTACTGACCTACAAAGATTTCATTCGGCGGATTGATTGTACAACTTCCCATCCTTCTCCTTCTTGCACAACTTCAAAATTCACACCTGTGTGAAAACGTTTCATGTGAAGAACATTATATGCCTTTCATGTACTTCTCAGAGGGTCTCTTTAGAGAGACCTATGGAGATAAAAGCCTGCGCCTTTTATCTTTCCTCATTGGCTTGGTGAGGATCAGACTATACTACTAATTTTTCGTTCGCAGTAGTAAAATAGTGAGATTTTGCTTGGACAGGCTGAAGTAGGCACGCTAGATATCAGGACTGTCATTACTAATTGCCATATTATCACCCCATGTAGATCAGCAATTGTATCTTCATAGTCTTCCTGTAGTCAAACCGATTTCTTGCAGTTACCAACGTATTTGCGCGTTACTATTGATGTGCGGATCAGGAAATTGTAGTTACACTCATTAATATCGTGCTGGGTGAACTCTATTCAATGCGTAGGGCAATACGCTTCAGAACGGAGAACAGATTTCTGTATGTCGTTATACCCCCAACAACGCTTCGGTGATACACTTTGTTAAACAGATTTCTGTATGTCGTTATACGCCCCAACAACGCTTCGGTGATACACTTTGTGCACTGTATTCTCCTAGGCTATATGAAACGGTCAGTTTAGCAGCATTTATGGCTTCATACCAAAGTAAGCCAGACGCAGCCGTGTTCGAAAGCTTGAAAGAATCTGTTCACGAGATGATCTAGAGAGGCACCCGGGGGGCTCAAAGCTCCACCGAAACCTGTATGCCCAAGTGAATATACCCTGAGTCAGGAACTACTGTTGATGAGAACTTGCTAAAATCAGGCTACCACTTAACGAAGGAGCTAACTTGAGCCACTCTATCCATATTCGTGGATTCAATGACCAGTTCAGTGATCCTGAAAACTATCTGTCACTCCGCTGAACTGGAATATTTTGGTCGAATCCAGAGGCAGCTGTCATGCTAATAACTAAATGTCAAAGCAAACACATTTAGTTCAACATTGAATCATCTCTTGAACGCTAGTCATATGAGTCATGTTGTAGCAGACAGTAATTCGTACGTTCTCTGAGTGTTTGTGTCCATGCAGTGTGATCTACAGCGTCTTGTCCACACCAACCATGCTGCGGTTTGACCTTACTCATTGCATTCTATTGACCCATCGTGTTGTTTCGTATTTGTGATTTGTTCTCACCAGGTCATGTTGATGTTCTGTTGGACAATGCGGAAGTACAATGGGAGTGGTGAAAGGGGATGACCAAAGTTCGGAAATAATGAAGCATGAGCAACAACAAATCCAGCGGGACAGTTGCCAGGCCAACGCAATTTTTCGAAGTGTTCGTAGCCAGACTGAAAACAGATGCAAAGTCACGGACCTCCGGGGATTTACGAGTCACCTCTGACCCAGATTATGGTCTAACGTTTGACAAGGACACTTTTTAGCCACCGGCAAGGCTCCAGACAAAGATGCAAAGTACCTCCGGGGATTTACGAGTCACCTCTGACCCAGATTATGGTCTAACGTTTGACAAGGACACTTTTTAGCCACCGGCAAGGCAAGGGACAAATCTTCCAAAACACAGAAGCTCAGCGCCACAGCTGAATTCAACAAAATGTCGGTGAAACGTCAGCCTGAAAGATAGCGGTTTACCGGGAAAGAATGTCCATGTTCCAAATTCGATACCGATGGTGGAAAATTCCAAGGTATTCGGAGAAAATGTCGTCACATATGCAGAGTCATCCTAAACTACGGACCTTTCCAACTCCCCATATTTTGACACGTTAACAACAGGTTGTTCTCGGTTGTGAAAAACGGATCCGAAAACTAAACGTACTGTTTGATAGAGCATAATGTTCTGTTTTGAAGAAGTACAGTCTTGTGCTGACCTGAGGAAAGTTGGGGCATCATCATCATCATCGACAGCATGACATAAGTGTTCAACACTGATGCTTCACTGCCGTACAACCATGACTTATTTGAAAGCCTTATTGTAAAGAAAAGAATAAAGGTGGACGGGGAAGGGACTTAGTGCCATCTTAACACAGGTC